GATGAACAATACGAAGATACGTCTTCACGATCACAATGAATATCTAAACAAAGATATTTTCCTGAAGGGAATAGAGATATATACTAAAATAATACCGTCTGTTGCAAATGTTTAAACGAATATACCATACATTATGCATCAGATTTTAAAAGTGCCATAGTCGAATGTTTAGAGCTACTGACAGCTGAATTCGACCTTTCTACCAGTGAAAAGCGTATTAATCAGAATACCTTGAGTTTAAGAGATCGCAATTAACGTGCAATGATATCCTAAGTCAATATATATTTCTATATTACATTTATATATATTGTTATGCTATTTAAAATTTTTATTATTGTTGGATGGATTTGAAAGATATGCAAATTCAAACGAGAAATAATGTAATACGAGAAAAGAAGGAAGAAGTGAATATCCTTGAAGAAACGATGAGTGACAGTTCAATTAAAAAATGAGGCTTCAAGGAAATTCCAAACACAGAAGATAAATGGAATGGAATGTAACGTGGATGTACATTAATCACAATGACATCGAGAAAAGGATATTGAATTTAATAAATATTGTGAACAAAAATCGAACATACAAGATTTTTATGTCTGAAGAATACAAGAAAACAATGGTGCTATAAATGGGGCCAAAGCAATCTGCTCAAATTAGAGAAACTTTTAAATATTATTATTTCCCCGTGAAGTACTTGTATTAAATACAGTACTTACATAAAGTATATATACAAGTGTTTTATATCGAAAAAAAAAAAATATTTTTGTAAGATTGTGTGTGACAACGTCCAGAAGCGTGTATTTTGGTGATCGAGAATTATCAAGATCGAGGCATCGAGGGAAACGAAATAATCAAAATGTTTTTGTAATACATATATTTTAAAGAAGTAAGGCAGAGGAATGTATTAACGTGATAAATGTTACGAATAAAATACGGAAAGAAATGTACAGAGAAGTAATTCGCATAAGAGACCGTCTATTGATTTTGAAGGTAAAAGCCCTAGGAAATTATCCAAGAAAATAACGGTGAGAGAGAGAGAGAGAGAGAGAGAATGGTGATATTTTTCGCGCGAAATTCAGAGCGAAGAGGAGAGAGCGACGAAGAGCGGCGAGGAAAAGTGCGCGGTGTGCATTCGGCCGAGTCGATAAACATCCATGTGCCGCGTGCGCGCGTGTGTATACCTTCCCGCCATTATCGGCGCCGCGTAGTGTTTCATTCTTAACCGGGCAGCTGCCCGACTCCCCTCCGTAGTGGCCGCAATGGACTCGCCCGTCGTTTTCAATCTCGTTCACGGCACGGCGATTATTCGCCGCGCTCGCGAGACGGAACTCGCGGACGAGCACGACGTTGGCGCGCGTCGCGCGGTGAACGGTCGAAAAATCGCGTGGTGTCGCACGGACGGCCGGGAGATACGTCGCGGGAACATCGTGCCGCCATCGGAGCCCAGTGTCTTTCCGCGCGCGCGGTGTTGTTTTGGGTTCGGCCATTTTTCGAGTGGGGAAGGTTAGGGAGAGAGACCGTTGAGTGCGCGTTGAGCCACGTTCGGCCACCGCGCGTCATCGTGAGTGTCCCCGTCAACGAGGATCCGTCGATGATTCTTAATCCGTCGGTGACGGAACGGTAATCGGTGGCGCGATCGCGCGACCCTGGATCCGCTCGACTCCCCCGCGGGAAGTCTCGTCTTTGTCAGCCATGTGCATTGCGGCGCATCGTTCAAAACGTCCTCGCACCCCCGTGGCAGTCGACCAATAAGGGGCCGAGCGCCTGAGCCACGTGACCGTGGCCGGCCAATCGGCGCGGCGGGATTTGAAATCTTTTGGTCTTTGTTCACGGGCCAGCTCGTGTCAACCAACGTTGCCTCAGTTCCGTCAAGGGGGACCCGTGTCGGTGTACGGTTTATACATGGTCGCTGCGCCGAAAATTTTCGACTGCGACTCGCCGCCGTAAATATATGTGTGAAAGTGCTGCCGGACGCGGACAAGACAGTGCGATTCGGAAAACGTCGGACGCGGAGTATCGATATACGGTAGGTCTGGCGCCATTATATCGCGCGCCGCGTAAATATTGCTCCGTGAAAAAGCTGTTGTTGCCCGTGTGTCTCGCCTTGTCTCGTCCCGTTCCATCCCGTCCCGTCTCTCGCAGGCTCTCGATCGCTCGCCGGCGCTCGCTCGCGCGCGCGCGCTCTCTCTCTCTCTTTCTCTCTTCCTCGCTGTCCTCCTCTCTGTCCGTTCTGTCAGAAGAATGAGATATATCGGAATGAGCCGGACACGACGAGCGAGATCGACGATGTTGTTTTTTTCTCTTCTTCTCGCCCACCCGTTTGCGTCGCCTCTCTCTCTTTCTCTCTCTCTCTCGATCTGTGCGCGACTCGGTTTTGGGTGAACGTTCTTCTCGCGCGCGAGATCGGAGGAAAAATAATCGCCTCCGCTCCTCTCGCCCCGCGTTCGTCGCCGATACTCCGTTCGGTCGATCCGCGGTTATTTTCGCGACGGCGCTGAATTTTCGCGGCCGCCGCGATCGTAATCGCGCCTCTCGCGTCGTCGCTACGATGATTCGGCCGTCGTCGCGATGGACGATACGCCGGGTAGAAGCATAAACAAATCGGCCGCCTCGTCCTTCTTGTGTCAAAATCGCTCGCGGCGTGAATGAGCGATTCACGGATGCGGGAGTACGGCGCCGTGAGTTTCGGCGGGAAGAGCGAGTGCTTGATATGAGAGAGAGAGAGAGAGAGAGAGAGAATCGCTATTATGCGCTCCACGATTGCATTCTCTGGAACCGAAAGCCAAGCATATTTCTATGTAAAACTGTTATCGGAGTGATATATTATAAGTACGATAAAAGGAAAAAAGGTATGAAATTAACAGAAAAGTAAAGTTAGATATAAAGGAAAATAGAGAAAAAGAGAGAGGGGCTGCGTTTGCTTTGGCGCTCAGCGCTTGTATCATTTTCCTTGGTTTTTTAATATTTGATGAACACCAAGGATGAAATAATGATTAGAAGTTACATAAAAGTGCAAAAACGAACACATCCAGAAAGAAAGAGATAGATATATATATATAGAGAGAGAGAGGAGGGGGGGGGGAGAGAAGAGTAGGAAAAAGTACTAAGGGCCGTCTACAATAAATGTATTCCTTTAGCTGAACTTCTTGCACGTTTATGTTTCTTCTTTTCTCTCCACTTTGAAGAACAAAAAGAAAAGAGATGAACGGTACAAGAAGTTCAACTGAAAAGAACAGGCCTTATGGGAGTAATGGTGTAGTAAGTTGTAAGGCGTAAAAAACCAAACGACCAATCACAATTGAATGTGAGACGAATAAATCGACTATTGTCAATTTCTTACAGCTTACTACAATACATTACTCCGATATTACTCCGATTGTAGGCCCGGTTATTAGCCGCGAGAATGCCCGAAGAACAACAGTATGTCACAAAAACAGAATACACGCGATTAGTTCTGTTCGCTTGCACTTTTTGCAATTAGAATCTTCTCCTTTTTTTTCAGCGCTTGAATATACGTTTTATCTCGTTGAAAACGCCAGAATTTTGGGGGATATCAAGCAACGCGAACAAACCAATTTGACGGATGTACGGGGAATGTATACGCAACAAAAACGGCGTGGGATATGTATGTATGTGATGCATGAATGTGTGCGTCCGCATGTGCGTGAGAATGCATTAAAGGTGTGTGGTTAAAAGAGAGGGGCTGCGGAGAGAAGGGAGAAAGAAAGCGTTATGCACTTCGTGACACAGAGTTCCCTTGAGCGGCCAATGGAGATGGGTAAACGGATACACGCGTAGGTCCAGTAAGTTACAGACAATGAGAAGTGCGCGTAACCGAGAGAGAGAGAGAGAGAGAGGTAATATGCAAATATTCGAAGGGGAAAGGAAGAGTGATGCATGCGCGGGTGGGAAAGGGAATCAACGATCGCCTTCCTTAAAATTACGAGCGACATCCTTCCGTCCGTTTTGTCGAAAGTTTCTCGAAATTTCCAAAACTTCCTGTCATCAAGGAAATCATCGAATGCTCCAAATTTCCAAAATATCTCGAAAGCAATGTATTTTTGAAAAAAATGTTTCAAGTAAAAGTTGTAGGATTTGAAAGGAGCCATCAGATGAGCTACTTTTTTTTCATAAAATATGAATCTGCATTAAGACAAGTGTTTGCATCGAAAGAAAATTAACCTTAATTTTATTGGGCTCAAAATGGACTCAGAATCTAAGTAGCTTGCTTGATGGCCCTTTTCAAATCTTACAATTTTTATTTGAAATATTGTTTTGCGAGATGTTTTGGTATCTGAGTTAAAATGGCTTATAAATAAGCAAATATTCCGGCTCAAATCGAGTACGGAATCCATAAGAATCCCAAATGATTATCTATAGAACATTTCAAATGTGATCTTTTAATTAGTAACATTAGTTTTTGCCAATGTAGCTCGTTTTCTTGAGAATTGTGAATTGGAGATTAGAATTCGACCAATCTGATAATTGATTTTAATTTTGTGCTTTACTTGGAAGTTATACTGCGCGGAATTTCGAGAATTAAACAGACCTCTGACGGTAACAAATTAGAAATATCTTGGATTGAAGATCCTAAAATTTTCAGGTTTGTCTTTTATTTTTTTCTATGAAAATATAATCATTATATATTAATATATATATTAATAATATGACTGTAATTATATTAATCCCGAAACACAATCAGTGTAATAGTTTTAAAAAATTGATTAATCACGATCGAATATGAGAATAATCTATTATAATTTATTAGTTAAAGCTTCTTATACCTATCGTGTTTCGGGACTTAAAGAATCTTACAACAGCTGCAAATATTTTTTGTCGTATGCATTTTATTTCTCTTTTTCCACTGCTCGATGTCAAATCGATTGGCTGAGAGGGGGAGAGATTTTGAAGATAAAAGGTTTGTTTTTTATGTGTTCGATATCTGACAAAATTCTCTGCGGTTTCCGATTTTGCGAAAAAATTTTCTTCCGTGAGACTTTCAGGTTTGTTTTTTATTGCTGCAGTAAAACTTCTCACGTTTTCCAGCAGACGAGCTGATGTTATTTGTTGTGAAGCGAGATGGAAAATTCTAGTGCAGTCCAGTGCAGCAATAGGAAAATTAAGAAACAAATCTAAAGATTTCGTGGAAGAAATTTTTTTTTCACAAAACCGGAAACTGCGGATTCGTCGATTCAACACGCGTGAGTTTTCCGATTTCCGTTCACTTCACGGCTCTCTTTGTAGCCCTTTGCTATGTACGCAGTATATCGTGACGTTTCCCGCGTAATTATTATCCGAAGCTGGCGACGGCGTTGGTCAATCCTTGTCGCCGAAACCGCCAACGGCAGTATCGATTTCCATTGATAGCCACGAATAGTAATTTCGCGAGGATCGCGAACGTTAATTGGTTGCTGAAATAACGTCGCCGAATTTAAATTTGGCTCCTTTTCCTCTTACATTCGTCTTTTGTTTCTATTTATTCCGAATATTTTTTCCAAGGATACCCATGGAGTCAAAGTCTCACAAATTTTCCATTTACATTGTTCGTTTGGGAAAAGTTTGACAAATGAAAAATTATTTCTATTCCCGAAATGCCAGAGAACAAGGGAAGCAACAAAATACGAATATAGCCTGCGGGCAAGGACGGAAAAGGACGAAGGGCTGTGGAGGGAAAGGCAGCCCCTCTGAGCACTTTCCAGCCGCATGCCACCGGGAAAGCTATTGACCGTGAGAACCTTCCGGGAAACCCCCGTTACCCCCGAATCCCTTCTGGCCTCTTCTCTTGTCGCCATATGCCCACCACAGGAAGCGGCCACGGTCCTGCAGGTATGGCCGAAATTCTCATTCTTCCCTCTACCTTTTCTCGCCATGTCCCATTCGTGTTCTCGAATAATTATTTCTGCGAGTCTCTTCGGAAGAAATAAAGAAACGGAGGCGAAAAAAAGAGTTGAGAACACGAACAAATATAACGGAACATCTTTTTCCCTTCTCTTTCATTCTGTCTTATTTTATTTTATTTTTGATAAATTCATTGTTTTTTTTGTAACTAATTTTGTTTAATTTTTGTAAATTTTCTCCGTGTCATTTTTGCTTTAATTTATTTTTTTTTAGAGGGCTCAGCTTTAGAACGTAAAAACTATCTATCTTCTCTCTCTCTCTTTCTCTTCTCTGGATGAATTTTTTTTTCTTCATTTACCGTTCGCGAGATGCGCTCGCGTTAAAAAAGATAGCCGGTGAAGAGGAAATTATTATCTGCGGGCACATGGGAGTAATACGCTTCCTCCGACTTCCTCCGATATCGGTGCAACAAGGGATTTGCAGTATGAGCCGTTATAAGGTTTTTAATACGCTTGCTAAGAAACTTACCGAAGATTTTGTCAGTAAATTTTCACAACGATTAGGTCTCTTTTTTTTTTAATAACCGACCTGAAACCTTTTGTATGGTGCTGTGACCTTCTTTTGCAGGTCGAAAATCCATCCCAAGGGAATGAGAAGAACCTTTTGCAGTCTTTTTGTTCAGCCCATGTTTTTTATTGTTCTAGTAAAAAAAAACTTCGACAAAAGGATTGCAAGCTTGTTTATTTAAAAAAAAATTCATGGTTATATACTTTTTATCTCTATTGTATTATTAAATAGATTTTTAACATGTTAAAACCTTTCGTACGAACTGACATTTGAACAGAAATGAGGATTCGAGGGTGAGATTTTTCTTGTGCTTGAAAAGATTGCAGACCCAGATTGCAGACCGACGGATAAAACTAGTAAACTCTTTGTATTTAAAGTAAAATAGGTATATGTGCGATACTTGTTAGAAGCGAGGAGGAAAGTTCTAATGCACGCTCCAGTATAGCAATAAAAACAAACCTATTGTTATATAATTAAACAGCCTAGCAATATAGTGAACCAGTAGTGTTTAAAATAACGCGGTAATTTTAAACATTTTTACGATAATTATGTGCCGATCAGTCACGCATTCCCAGTCTGTATAATCGGAAAAAGAACGGCATCTTCGTCGCGGAGTATATA